CTTGCTAACCATCTGTTCACAGCACAAAGAATCCATGCCGTGGAATTGGCTATAAAATACATAAAATCAGCAAACTATACTTGTTCAAAGCGATTCTTATTTAGACATTCAGGTTGTGTCCTTTGTTGAGGAAACAATCCAGTGTGATATTGACATATACCATGCAAGCTGTGGCCATGTTCATGATGACTGGCATAAACAGAGGAGTGTTTCATGTCATTGTCCATGCCACGCTTCACAGATTTCAGTTTTCGAAAAATGTAAATTTACAAGGGCATTGATTAAATTTTTATCTCTTTCAGAAATGTTATTTACATAGAGAAACATCAATTTGGTTTTTTGATAAGGGAAAAAAATGTCCTTTAAATTAAAATATCAAGTCTTTGAAAGGTTGGTTGGTTGGTTTGTTTCTTGTTTAACGCTGCACTCAGCAATATTCCAGCGATATGATGGCGATCTGTAAATAATCAAGTCTGGACCAGACAATTCAGTGATTGACATGAGCATCGGTCCGAGGTATTGGGATACAAAGACATGCATGAACCAAGTCAGCAAGCCTGGCCACCCGATCCTGTTAGTTACCTCTTACGACAAGCATAGTCACCTTTTACCGCAAGCATGGGTTGCTGAAGACCTGTTCTACCCCAGATCTTCATGAGTCTCTTTGAAAGGCATTTAGAAGTAATACACTTAAGGAAGAGAATTTATGAATGTCAACTTCTTAATTATGAGGAACACAACGTTTGGAGTATTTGCTTACTCCTTCATCACGTGAATGAAGGTGATTCATCTGATGAAGCAGTAAATATATACCCCGAAATGTGTTCCTCATAATTAAGAAGTACACATCCATAAATTCTCTTCCTTAAATGCAAATAGATGACGTTTGAATGCAGTTAGTTGGGAAGAGATAAATCACATTGTAGTTTGGTTTTCCATGGCTAAAATTTGATCTTCGGTGATATATAATAATCCGGACTGAAAAACCCTATTTTTCATTAATTGTCGAACCTTGACTTACTGAACTTACTACTTATGATATGTGTATGTAAAAAAGTATTTAACATCTCAGTATCTATATCAAAACCTAATTGTGGAAGGAAACCCAGAGAGTCTGGACCCTGTGATTGTGGAAACCTTTCTTTTCAGATAATTCCATCATAATTACTTTACAATAGATTTCTTAATTCATTCATCCAGACTTTATCACCAGTAATTATTGTCTGGATTAACAAGGTTTTGCTGTAAATCTCTTTGTAGTTGGTAATATTGTGATCAATTTTGAGACGTTGGATGAGAGATTTAATATCGATATTTATCTTCATCATCTTCAAGGGACAGTGATTTAGTACAATCCATCTAAAAAGAAAAGCTATTCTTCATAAATTTTACTTTAAAGTTTTCTTGCCAAAACAATAAATGTCAATTTGTGCTGAGACTGATGACATTTAATAATGACGGATAATGTTATGCAGATTTCAGCACTTTGTTGGTGGTTTTCAGTATGACCCCCATCACTGCTTGTATAAAGATCAAAAGTTTCTGGGCACTTTTGAAGTATTTGGAAATGATTGATTGCCATTCAAAACTGATAGTTCACAATTAACATGAAGAATATTGTAACCGATTAAAACCGTGTTAGTATGCCAAGCATTTTTCCCACAGGCTTTCATGACACAAATTTTGAATGTAAAGGACACATTTTTGGCTTCTAATTTGGTTTGATTTTTACATGAGCTTATTTTCAACCTTATCATGCTTCATGAAGACAAATTGAAGTGTTCATTCTTTGATGTGGATTTGCTTAATTTTGATTGTTTACTAATTCATGTTTAAGTAATTAATACACAATTCCGGATTTGTTTCAAAGAACTGAAGATACATTGAGACTGAAGTCAACCCCGGTTGGGCCTGTTGTATACTAGAAGAAAAGCTGAAACATAATTCATCTCCCTTGAACAGAATTTGAAAAAAACAACTCTCTTTTCATGAGAAGAATATTGCCCTAAGCTTGAATTTGACAAAATGGCTTAGAAAAATTATGACAATCTTTTCTGCCGATGTTTTTTTAACAAAGGCTTGAATAGTTAGAAAGAACATTCATTGTGAGAAAAGAAACCAAATTTGTCAAGATAAATCATTTGATGGTTTATTTTAAGGTGACATTTGACTTTCCAAAGACAAAATGTTCAGATTTTTTATTTACACATGTGCAAAATGACAAAGTAGACTTGAAAGAGTTTATGAACAGATTCTAGTCTATGGGCTGACATCAATCACATCCCACTTAAGATGAGGTCTTTGCCCATTACTTATCTGATGCTGGTTATGTGGCTGAACTTGACAATAGATGCGAGACGCTCCTTCAGGCACTCACAGATAACTGATGTTTATGAACTGTAGATGTTAATCACATGTGGTAGATGGATTGGGAATGACTTTGGATCCATTAATGTTTTAATCCTATCAATAATGAAAGGATGAAGTGTACGACCTTGAGGGAGGCTGAAGGGCAAATTTCAGAAGGTTTCTATTCAGATGAAGAACACAGCTATTGATGGTTCTGGGAAGATCATTTGTCAGTGGATTGTCGATGTAATTGATTGTAGCTGTGTAAAGTAATGTCAGTGTTTAGTATTTCATGATAATGGACAGAAGACTAACGTAAATGTCCACGTCCAACATTTACAATTATTGACCCTCTAAAGTGAGGATCATTCAGACACTTCTTTGACTTGCACTACATATGGAATTTTATTCAACAGTGGCTCCTGCAAATCAATTTACATATCAATGAGTGAGTAACTTGCAGTCTGACATCCCTTTTAGCAAACCTGGTAGCATCAGAATTTCAGTCCGATCTTGGCATGTTCGATTGCAGTTGAAGGAAAGCTCAAATTGTCACAGGTTGTAAACATTCATACTATTTGATAGGGATTCATAAACTCATATAGCATAAACACATATAGTCTGAATCATACAATGAACAGTGCTTTCATCAGAGATTTCTTATAAGTATGGAAATGGTTTTGTTGCCTTTATTTACACTAAAATAATGCAAACAGCTGTATGTTAAACAGTACTACCCAGCACTACCTAGTCAAAAGTAGATGCAATAGCCAAATGTTTGAAATAATTGTCAATCCAAAATGTGTCAATCCAGACAATGTCACAGCTACATGTATGGTCTTGATTAAAAGGGTTTCTCTGTATAGAGATTTGCCTTGCTCCAAGGCTGTACTGAAAGAAAAGTCCATGGATGTGTTGTAATTCTATGCTCCTAATAGGCAAGTCTAGATAGGTGGACAGTAAGGACTCCAGTCTTATAGGGACAACTTGTTCTTATTATTTACATCATCTAGAACTTATGATCTAAATTAATAATTATTGCCTGAGAGACTTGTGCAAGTCTATATAGAGATGGAAACAGTTCCTTTTGTTTGTTGGGCGGCTCTTCACAATTCTGTGCGACGCCTTGAAATGTCTCCTTAAATATTTTTCATCAGGGCAACCTGCAGGTCTGCGGCTTGCCGCTGACAGACGCTATAAACACCAACTGGAACAGTCGAAACAATGAGTGAAAGAACAATTAAATCTTTAAATAATTGTTAAATGACTACATAATAATGATATGCTAAGCAGAACTACGGAATTAAGATGTGTGATGCGTTATTTCAAACTGTTAACTGTTTTCCTTTAATGTATTCAAATCATTCGTTCCTGTTGAGAATGTAATTGCTTGTATTTGCAAGTGAAGCAACTGGATGCTATAGGCCTTTGACAGCCACATGGATCTTCACACTGAAATTTGTCCAGGCTTATAGTTGAAATGAACAAGTCAAGGAGTTAAGGAGCAATAAAAGTTAATGTTTAATGAAAAGGATTTTAACAGGCTTCTGATAACGACTCTAATGCTATTTCACTCCATAAATTTCACATTTAATTTTTTACATGCTGAGGATTAAAAGCAGTCCTTTTTTTATCCGATACACATTTTTGGCCTAGATGGGAAAATATTTGGTTTAATATAATGGGAAATCCCAGCATTATGATGCGACTTGTTCAAATAAAATCAGGTTAGGAACCAAATGGAATCACAGTCGCCCTAGCTGATTAAGTATTTTTTTCTCGATAACGGAATCACTGGAGCATTTTGGGTTGTCAATTGCAAAATAGTGAATGTGGCTGATCATTTGATTGACAGCTGTCAGAATTCATCAACATGTCAATTTTTCACTGGACGCTTGATTAATATGTCAGTCATTATCTTTGCTGACATTATGAACATAAAGCTTTGAAAAATATTATTTACACAAAAGTAATTGTAATTTGTCAATTAATCTGTTATTAATGAAAATAACAAATTGAATAACTATATTCCCAGTGTTATTGGTTACCTCGGAGACCAGCTGATGTACTTTTCAACAATTCACGCTTTAATGATCTCATCTCATTTAGCCCTAATTGGACCATGACTTGTTCCAAGAATGGCTCGTCAAATGATTATAGGGAGTTGTTTCTCCAATTGTCTTTAAATCTTTACGCCAAATATGGCCTCTTTGATCTCAAGTACCAAATATAGAATTCAAGATACTCGTTAGTACAATAATTTAAATATATTGAACAGCATGAAAAAAAATCAATAAAAAATTCTCAAAATCAGGAACCCAAATTTGCAGTTGTTGGAAAGATTTCAAAAATAATAATACCTAGTGTGTTATTGACATCTCTTAAAGCCATAGCATTGTTCGTTGGAGTCACAGCCCAGTGCTTATTATTGAATCTTGGACTGACTTAATAGCAATCTAGGAATACAACTCGACACTATTATGACTCCAGTGAAGAAGGCCGGGTAGTGTGATTTGTTCGTCATGTCAATTCAATTTGATTTGTCAAGTGACCGACACAATGGATATGAATATTAATTAGGCCGGTTTATGCAGATCGCCAGTCTAAGCAAGAAGCATCGTGCTAAGTGCCATCTGTGCGTGTCATTTCAGGGCTCGACGGAGGACACTGGCTTCACTGTTACCCTGGGACGTGACGGAGAAGCATCGCTCGGATTCAATATAATGGGAGGCTTCACGGTGAGTACATGCCAGAGTATCATGGCCTGTTGTCATCTAACGACTTGGGCGACACCGATTGTTGAAATGTCTTTACCTTTTTTAGAAGATGCTGAAGGTGTTTGCTGGTGTGCGTTTCAATTATTTTCTGTATTTTTTTTGAAAATATTGACAGCTGTCAAATAGATATTTTTTGGAAAGATTCTTAAAGGGTATTATTTTGCTTGTTGATAATGTATATTTTGGGGATTATATCTAATTGTAGCTTATGGGAAAATAATAATAGATGAGATGGGAGCAGAACGGGAGACGAAGGGGGAGACGTTTCTGGGTCGCAGAGACTCCGCACTGTTCCGATCAATAGACAGTGTCCGAATGACCGGTCGATCGTCCAGCCTCCATGATGGGGGATGTTTTTGTTGTGTCCACTGTTGCCGGAACAAAAGGATAATCGGGCAGGGATTATCACACATTGGGGACATAAAGAGGGGCTTTTACTCATCGTGTAGACAGACTAGGTGCATGAGTGTTTGGGGTCCTGCTGCTCAGGGTGTGTATGTGGACAGTAGGGGGATGACCAGTGGTGACCAGTGATGACCAATTGGCTCTACTGGCCTACTTAGCCAGCCCAGTCTTTTCTCACGCACCATATGTCACTCTGGTGCTGTTCCGGAACTGCTGTCAAATAATGGTCTATGATGATATTTTTAAATTTCAGTAATTGTAACTTTTTTATAATTATTGAATGATAGTTCAAAGAGTAAATTTGAAATGATAAAATATCACTTGTGTCTGAAAACATGAGCCTTGATATTTTACAAATTGTTGCCACAGTTGATAGCGTTGGCTTTCGGCCATGATGAACGATTTGCTTTATTAAAAAGTATGCTTATTGCCTCGTCAATTTATCCAACATATTGACAGGGGCTTAATTCCTGAAATCCTTAGGCTTGACATTTAGTTCGTATTTACAGTGCACAACACCTGCAGTGATTAGAAATTTCAAAAGGATTATTTTCATTGAAGGGTTGTTATTAATGAATTTCATTCCCAATACTCTATCCCCATTAACACAAAAGCCCTTTCTCAATAAATGTAACTGTGTGTACAGGAAAACAGCACAAGGATATCAATTAGATATTATAGGTTGTAGGCAAGTACAACCCACAAAGATTGACGATCCCAGTTAGAGCTATGAAAACAATCAGCACGTATAAGTACATTCACGCATTCCGCTTCAATTCTACCCACTCTTAAGAGGAAAGATAAAACAGGCCAATTTCTATGGCTTGTGCATGAACTCTGTCAATGATTTACGGCAGATAGTCGGTTTATACACTCCACACATTCGTAATGGCATATTAACCCTGGGTGTTACTGTATACGAAAGAATCATCTCTAGTGATCCACACTTTGAAGTCATTGTGTCCTTTTGAGATTACCACATGCATGACTGCTCCCCTCGTCTGAATTACCTCAGAACACTCCTATTTAAATGTATTGGAATCTATCCTTTCAACGTTCACTTTGCAATTGAAGCAACATAAATCTTGTCTCAGAGACTTCGTTTCAATTTGGAAGCTTTGAAATACCAAATATGAAACAATTAACCGGTCACAGTTGCAATGTTGTTTTTTAGGCCTTTTTAATGAAAAACTCTCTTTTTAATTTTGGTCTTAGCTTTTAGGAAAATCAGTTTAACTGAGCTCAATGTAGCTCTCCATTTATCAACAAGAGCATGCTCCATTAGACAAAATCATTAATTTTTGTCTGTTCAATTGAAAGCTTGTGCCAAATACATGTCTCGGGGGACAGACTCATTTTTTCCCTTTGTAGAATTTCATCTTGATTTATTGTGCTAAATGTGCTTTCAGGGGGCTCCGAATCTGACTTTTCTAATGAGACTCTCGAAGATTTGAAGAGTTCTAGCTAACTTTAAACATAGTAGATGTAGAATTAACATTGTTTAAACATTTAACTTCAGATAACCAGATGTTAGACTCTTCTGATTAACTCGCTCAGAATGATGAAATAGTTTTTCTGCAATGTATCAATTTTCGACGACGAGAATGTCAGGAAACTTGGATACATTCACATTTCATCGGGCGGCTTTTCATTGACAATCTTGATAACTCACGTAGTTCGAAAGAGATGGAAACTTAGCGCACTGTTCAGCTGTTCCTTGAGCCAAAAAATAGTCTTACCGATCTCTCATTCATCTTCTTAAAGCTGCTAGAATTACTCGTTGAAAACCAGTGGGGGTCATAAATCCATTGTCTTTTGTTAAAAGAACATTTTAACCCGTATTTTATTTTTAAATGAGAAAAAAAGAGCCTTTAATGAGAGTCTCTTGATGCTATTTTATGATAATATCTGTAAATGTTTCTTTGAGGTATTTAACACCATACTTTACATGTGATAACACTTTTTAAGACATCTCGTGTAGGATAGTATAGTGTTAAGCAGTTTTAAGCTCCGGAACAATCTGTTCTTTGCCGAAGATTATCGTAAGGAATACTTGAATAGGACGTAATGTAATCAGAAACAAGGGACAGTTATTGCCGAGAATTTTTTTAAAATATCTTTTTCTCCTGTGTTTATAAATTATGAATCTGTGAGTCCTGTGAAATATTAAAGTGAGTTTGATTGTGAATTACTAGTGCATTCATAGTAAATAATTTAAAAAGTCTTATTAAACATATGAGCATCAATCTTACATGTCTCATGCATTTTAGGTTCATTAATACTTATCTTTAGGACGCAACAATTAAATACTAACGATAATGAATCATAAGAGTCATTATTGAAGAACCAGAATGCACTGAGTGACCTTTGCGTAGAAACCAGAGTATATGTCTATTTAATAAAAGTTCAATGAGGGTACACCGGCCTTTGAAAGGAATTCCTTCTGAGTACAGTGTTCACAATGTCTCGGTGCTCTTATTCAAGTGACGATTCTTTTTGTGTGAGGAAACACAGGCTACCTCAGCTGTCTTACAAAGCCTATAGTTTACAACACTATGTACTGATTCTTGCAGCTCCATGGACAAAGGGTGGAAACTACAGATGCCTTAAGTCCATCTTGTGTAAATGCAGTAGGACATTTAACAAACTTTAATGATCCATGTTTGAAAAGTCTCGCACCCCTACGTTATCGCAACTAAAGGTTCATCACATTAAACCACTGGGCCATTCAAGTGAACCTGATTTTTGACATGGACGGGCCGAACACAAGCTGCTCGCTGTATTCAAAATATGTAAATGATGAACTTTGAATTTAAGTTCAAAGTAATTTGTCCCCCTTTTAGAAAATAATAGAGCGGGTTGAATCAGGAATATTTTGTCAAAAAACACACTTTGGCAGCTGGAGTGAAGCCATTCTGCATTGTAATCAAATTATCACAGGGCACTTTCTCTGTAATAGGTTATTGCCATAAAAGAAGCAATTTTTCAAGTAACTTGAATTTTAATGGGTTTGGGGTTTAAGGGACGATTAACGGTCATTATCAATCATGTTTACATTTGTTTCATGTTTCATAAATGACTTTGATCTTTATATGACTCAATTATAGCATATGACAGACAATAAGTTGTAAGGAAGTATTACCTTTTGACAGTCTGTAAGTTGTTAGGAAAGGGTTATTTAGTTTCATATGCTTTTTGTTAGTTTTGTAGCTGTGTTTTATAGTGTAAAGAAAAACTTAGAGACCCTTGCTTTCATTTTATGATCAAGATCTAATTATTAGGTGAGTGTTATTGATTTGAGTTTTAAAGTATTATCAGTAAAATTGATCTTTAAAGTTTTATGTTTGATCTTATAATTAACAACCCTGTGACCTTTCACATGACTGCACAGGTACCAGGTGAGTGAGTGAGTAAGTGAGTGAGTGAGTGAGATTGGTTTAAATGCCGCTTTTAACAGTATTCCAGTTTTGTGACGTGTCAGCTTAATTTGAGAGAAAAGCCTGAAGTGATCCAGGTTTCAGAGATTTAACACTTTGGTGAAACCCATGAGCACGGATATGATGTTGACAAATGTAGAAACCTCAGCAGAGCAAACCAGGATTTTAAGCCTAAGTCATAGGTTTCTGGCGTGTCAAAGGGATGCAACTCTGCACAGCGAATTGCGGCACCTCAGGTGACTAGGCCCCAAGGTCCTCACAGGTGTATTATGCACAATTTATGATACAACTGTAAACTGTAAACTGTAATCCAGTAAATACCTTAAATATTCATAATTGCAATTATGTTTTATTACATTATATATCATTGTGATATAGATAATTTAATGGCCTGAAGTTCTGCTATCATTCCTAAATGTCTAGGTGCCCCCCCCCCATCTCTCCTCCCCCCCAATAAAACCACACACTCACTTTTTGTCGTTTGCAGAAAATCTGCTAGTTGCGACCTTGACATTGCACACGAGTGCAGTATTTTAAGATCTTCACATTTGATGTCAAATAAGAGGTTGATACTGTGACGTTTTATGATATGGAAGTGTGAAAAGTAGGAATTGTTTATACAGCGGAATTAGAAAACTGACAGACGGCTTGAAGAACAATCTCATTTGGAGAAGACTTCAAGACACTCCAAACTTTCAAAATATAGTTTTTCTGGATGCGATCAGAGACTGGAGAAGATGACTACTCACTTCAAAGGACCTGCCTCAAATGGAGGTGTTTTATACGATCACCTGACGAAAGAGTGTTCAAGAGACTGACGGCCAGCCAGATTTGAGTATGGAGTGAAGTGTTTGATTGACACTCTGACGGAGCAACAGAAATTTCCTTATTGGATTGTACTAACCTCTGTGGTAGGAACTGGACCGTTAGAAACCCTGGATCAAACGTTTTCCCCTGTTTGAGGTGGCAGGAACCTGATACGGAACCTTTATTGTCATTAAATATTTATCCTTCTTTTGAAACGGCATCTTATATTTGTTATACCTTTTCCACCGGCTTGATTTACAAAAACCTAGCGTCTTGCCTTCGCGCGTCAAAGGGCAGGGTTTTAGCACACTG